AATCAAAGCATCAAACAATGTGCAAAGGCAGGTTTTTGCTAGCAGTACCACTAGTACATGCAGCTTTGCCCCTCTCACTCGCTCTGCTGCAGGTGAATCGGGCCACGCCTCCCCTGCCGCTCCACGCATGCAGAGTGCAGACGCAGTACTCCGCCGGTCATCCTGACCGTCTGCGCCGCACGGCGACGCCGCCATTGGCCGCCGCCCGAGAGGACGCTGTGCGCTCGTGTGGACTGAGGGCCGCGGGCCGGGGTCGCCTTCGCCGTGCGTGCGCGTACGGACGACGCGCCGCGCGACGACGGCCCGTGATCTCTGGCAGCTGGAGAGGCGTTTGGCCCGCACCCGGCGCACCGCAATGCTACACATACAAACAGTTTACAAGTGGGTTAGTTTTCATTGGTCAACAGATGAACGGGACGGCCCACACCCTAAAAATCAGAGGAAAGAGGTTTATGATTGATTGTTAAATAAAAACAGCAAAAAACAGTTTACAGGCTTTTACAAATCTTTGTAAGTCTAGCATTTTTTCCGGGCCGGGCGCACCCGAATCTTCAGCTACACACGCCTGCGCAGATGCGCCAAAACGTACGCGCGCACCCGGCATGCGCGCATGCATGCATGCATGGTGATCACAATCTTTTCTTCCAATGATCGTCCCTTCCGAGTGCACGGCAGCAATCAATCCTACGTGTCCTGGGATTTAGGTCTGCGCTGCAATTAGTACTACGTGCCGTGATGGGAGGGAGGTTTTGCCCGAAGGAAACTCTTTGCTGGAACGGGTCGGCAGCGTGACAGGGACCTGGCTACGGGCAACAGAACAGGTAGGCCCGGGCATTTGGGCTCTTGCGAACAAGCAATTAGTCCGCTGTTACAGGTTGGTGGCTGGGGAAAGCTACTTGCGGTAACGTCAAAAGAGTAATGGAACTCGTGTAAAAAAAAGAGAGTAATGGAACTCTGGTGGTGCCGAACTGGGAACGAGATCCTCTAACATTACGAAGGGATGTGAGGAAGCTACAGTACCCTGACATCCCTTCTTCACATCCATATGATTAAGGCTAAAATAATTTAAATTAATTTGTAAATTACAAATTTATTGTATATATTTATAAAAATTAGATACAAACAAAATTATGTTGCAATAAAATCAATTTCATATATATTTTTCTATGAACATCAACTGTCTACAGTACATCGCTACAGTAGCCATGACATCCCTTCTCTGTTTTGCACTGGATTTGCACGGTAGCTTCGTGACATCCCTTCCTGATGTTAGAGGATCCGTTCCCGCCGAAATGAGGCCCCAGATTGAGAAGGAACTCCGGTCAACCACCACGGCACCCTACCTTTTTAATCCTTCGGATCACGCGAAAACTAATCTTTCTCATCGCACAAACCTAGGCATGCCAATTAGTTTACGATATCGGCTTACTCCTGCCCGATTTCCCAAGAGACAGACTGAATCATCTCGCAGAATGTGGCAAAGTCAGGTCAAGAGAGGACGTGCGCTTTCAGGCTTGCTAAACTACTCCCTCCGTCCGAAAATACTCGTCATTAAAATGAATAAAAAAAGATATATCTAGAACTTAAATACATTAAGATACATCATTTTTATCCATTTTGATGACAAGTGTTTCCGGACAGAGTGAGTACTATTACTAATACCAGTTTTTTTATTTAGAAGTACTTAAGCATGAGATGGACTCGGTCCCCTCGGTCGGTTATACCGGACCCCGGCCGGTTGACGGAGAAGCATGGGCTCTTCACGCCCAAGCAGAGCACCGCGACAGGGAGATTATCACGGCTTTTGCTGCCACGGCGGACATGGGTGCACTGTGGAACTATTACACCGCTAGTACTAGTACCAATCCACCATCATCAGCTAGGAAACGTTACCCCCGTGGTGCAAGGCACGACCCAACCCAACACAAGGGGAAAGAAAGAGCGCAAGTGGTCGACCCAGCACAGGAACGAACACTGTGCCTCCGTGGCCCCTCCTCTCGTGTCCTGGGCGAGACAGTCCATGTGCCCGCACCAAACACCCAAGTGAGTGACCCTCCCTATCTTGTCATGCCCTGCCTGGTACTGCTAGTAACAAGTCTAGTAGAGTAGTAAGGATAAGCACGGCTCCGCAATTACGATCGCCATGCGTGCCACGGCAGAGCAGGCAACCGATTAGTAGATCAATCGCCTGGAAAGCACTGTGCCAATCATTCATGCCCATTGGCCAAGACGATACGATGCTCGCTTCACTTGACCAAGTGACTGGGACCGTGCAAATAAAAACGTGCTGCCTGGGGCCATTTTCTTCCCGGTATCATATAGAACGAGAATTTATCCATCTAGACCCTATGAGACATATCGTCTAGTATATAGTATTATATGAAAGAAAGAAAATAGAAAGGGAGCGATTGGATTATGGATAGTGGGAGCACTATTACCACGTATGACTATATGATGAGCATGGAGCCAGATGCTTTGCTTTTTCATCATGTTGCCTCCAATTGCTGCTGGATTCTCCGAGTGAGTGCTCGCTAGATACTCTGATGATTGTATCCGCCGGCCCAAGATGCGCTTGGAAATGGCCGGCATGATACATTTGCCTTCGGTGACGGGGAAGTTTGCCCCCGAATCTTTGCGATCGGTAGTAAAATACATGTCAGAGCGCGCCGTGCTAAATCCTGTGGCACGTTCGTTTGACTCGACCCGACTGGCGCTCCTCCTGCTCGTTTGTTTGCGGCCCCTTGTTTCAATTTCATCTTTGCCACAACTTGTGTAAACATGTCCGTGTTCTTCCCCCTCAGTCGCCTTGTGCATGTGCTACATCAGGGTTTGCAGATAGTTGATCCATGTAGTAGTACATCAGCATATGCAGTTCAGATCTACTGGCAGTAATGTGCCGTTGAACGTACTACTCCGCTTCTTTTCCCGGGGCCGTTGAACGTACTACTTGAATGGCCTACTTTTACCGGCGGTAAGGTCGTCCTTTTTTTTTTTTTGCAAAGTACTAGCAGCTGGGGCGTGCCCATGGCGCGCCGCCTGAGCGGTAGCTCGGCGGTGCTAGCTGGGTAAGCGCCCCTTCAGCTAGTTTGTTCAGCTCTTGTTAGCACATACACGTGCCAGATATCATCAACTATACGAACTTAATTACAAATTTATTTGAATAGCCTCAAATATCACTGATGCAAAAGTCAAGTTGTATGACAATCTAGAAGTCATGGCAAAAAAATATTGGTTCCAATTAAAGCAACACCCACACTTCCAAGAAGGCAAGATCATAAAGCAACACGTATGCAGCAGCTACCAACCTTTGCGCCATCGCGCGCCTCCGCCTTGCCCCTGCCTTGAATATGAGCACCGGCATTGGTGCCAGCGCCGCCTTGTCGAGCACCCCTCCACTGGTCCTCTTCCTTGTCGGCCCGGCCGCCATGCCGGATCCATCCTGCATGGTGCACAGGTATATTGCACAGTCCTCCCCAACCTTCTTGGTGCCGCCACGCACTCTGCCCTGAATCTGGACACCAGCAAGGCAGCCAGCGACACCTTGTCAAGCCCCTTCGCTGGTCCTCTTCCTCATCGGCCGCGCGCCGTGCTGGGTCTCATCCGATGCACACCGTCCCTCCCTGCATCGCACATACATGTAGCTCAGGTACAGACGAGGCACATTGCCATGAACGCTGCCATGAGCTCCAGCGTCTCACCAGAGCTGCAGCTGGTGTGCTGTCACATGTGAGCTTGTCGATGAGACGACGAAGTACACTACAACAGGTGTACCCTCCATCCATTGATGTTGCAGCTACCAACAACTTGATGTCGTTGCTAACTTGTTATCTGTTGGGATC